GCGGGGCTGCAGCAGCGCTGCTCCCGCCTGCCCGAGGATGCAGCCGCTGTCACCATGGCAACTCGGGATGCTCCCGTCCCCGGGCCCCTGCGAGCCGCCTCCCCTCACATGTTGAGCTCATCGGAGGGCTGAACAGAGCACCTCCTTCACCCAGCCCAGCCTCCCCCCTCCCCGGAGCCCTGTCTGACCCAATCCACCCGCAGCGCTGCTTTCTGCAGGTTTCTTCAGCCACCAAAACCACCGGCTCGGAGCAGACTGCAGCAAAATCCTGCCAATGGGCAAGCAGGGCCGAGCCCAGCGCAGCTCCCCGTGGAACATCATCCCTGGCCCTGGGCAGGGGTGCCCAGCCCGGGGGGCAGAGGGGGGAGCACCGTGTCGGCTGTGGGGTGCACCAGCTGGTGGGGAGCCCGTTTTGTGTGGCTGACAGCTGCACTCAGTGCACCCCCGGGCTTCCAGCCTGCCTGTGGGGTGTCCTTGTGTGCCCTGTGCAGGGTGAGATGGGGAACACAGTCCCACAGGGCTTCAGCCTGTGCTGGGAAGACTGAGGGAGCACAGCACATGGCCTAGCAGCTTCCTCTGCTGCTCTGTGATTAAAGGAAGAAGGATTTTTTTTTTCCTACTAAAAAAAAGCCCCAACAAAGTATCTTTGTATCTGGCTTTGCTCAGCTGGCAAGAGAGGGCTGCCCTGACCTCAGCCTCTTGCCAGCATGACAGGGGGACCTCTCCAACTCCTCCAAAATCCTCCAGCCCCCCTGCAATGTATCAGAGGGCAAATGGATTCATCCCTCCTCTATTTTAGTCAAGTCATGTTGCCACTTTCTTCATTTCTCATGCTGGGAAGAGCCTTTGCAGTACAGCCAGGCCATGTCTGCCCTGGGGGACACAAACTGCCTCCCTGCCCACTCCTGCACCCTCTCCAGCTCTCCTACTTCCCACCTCCTTCCTTCTCTCCTCATCCCAGCTGCACTGGCTCCTCAGCCCCCTACACCCAAGCTGCTGACTCACATCCTCTCTCCAGACACCACCTTCTTTTGGCCTGGCTCCCTGCAAAGAGCTTCGTGACTTAGCGTGGCTCAGCCAGAGCCTGCAGGTGCAGGCAGCCAGGCTCCAAACCCCGTGTGAAGTCCCTCCAAGAAAGCAGCAGTGATGCTTCCAAAAGATGCTTTCTCCCTGGACAATGTGCTGAGGGCTGGGGCTGTACTGCCCCCATAACCCCAAACCTTGTCCCTGGTGCCCATCAGGGGTGGCCAGGGAGCGTGTCCTGGTGCTGCTGCTGCCCAGCTGTACACTGGGACCTTGGTGTGGACTTTGCCCAGGGCAGGAGCTGAGTAGCAGGAGGGCTGGATTAATGCACTAATGCAGGATTATGCTCTAATGCAGGCCTGCTGCTGAGGGAGCAGCCCCTGCTCCAGCTCAGGGACACCCCCTCCCTGGGGCACACCCCACACTGCCCTGGGTCACAGCCTGGTTCTGCCTGGCTGTCCCCTAAGGAGCTAAACCCTCAGAAGTGAGGAAGGACTGTGAGACAGGCAGGGGACACAGCACAGGGGAACCTCCATTCTCAGCTCCCAGTGAGCTGGAGGAATGACCCAGCCTGTGCAGCCCTGGCCTTCTGCTTTGCCAGGCTCTGTGGCAGAAGGATCAACCATCACAGCAGGGCTCCAGGGTAGCCAGTTCCCCTTCCTCTCCTGCCCCAGCTTCCTGACACCGAGCTATTCCCAGTCTGTGCTCCTCATTCCCAAACACATCAGCCAGGCAAGGCCACAGGCCATGATTTGGCTACAGTGGGAACCAAACTGTTTGCCATCCCACCTCCCTCAGTCCCACGCCTGCCACTGGGCCACCCTAGGCACAGGCAGAGCTCTTGCAGCCTTCCACCCAGCCTGGATGAGTCTTGCATCACATGAGACCCTGTGGCAGCATCCTGCTCCTCTCTGAGTACAAATCTCTCATCAGCCAATTTCATCTGGGACCCTCTGCCTCTCTGTGCCCTTTGCTGCCATCTCCCGGGGTCATTCTGCCCCCGTCAGCAGCTGTGACTGCTGTGCCGTGGAGCAGGAGGTGACCAGAACTGCACCCACGAGCCACCCCCATTTCAACAGAGCAGCAACAGCCCAGAGCTGCAGTGGAGCCAGTGCTCCAGCAGCTCCCACGGAGGCAGAACAGAGACCTCCCACTCCCACCTGCCTGGAGGAACACCATCCATCATCCCTGCAGGCAGACGAGGAGAGGCTCGTGCAGAAAGCTGGGCCAAGGCAGGTCCTTCAGCAGCCAGGCAGGTGCTGGGTCTGCTTCATCCAGAACATTTTCCTCCCATGGAGCACCTCCAAGTCATTCTGGGGGATGGTGGCAACTCTTAATAGCAAAACCACAGCTTCCCTGCTGTTTGTCTGACATGGAAGAGGCATGGCTTGCCAGGCTGGCTGCCCCAGTGCCATGGCCAGCTCATCCAGCCCAAGGAGTTGGCTCCACAGACAGAGCAGTCAGGCAAGGAAAGTCCCACAGAGCTTTGTCCATGACTCCAGGCAGAAACGCCCTTTTTCACGTGTGACTATTCATCCTTGGGATCCACTGCCACCCAGGGTGCAACTAAGAGCCCCGTGCACCTTAGAGAAGGCAGATGAGGATGCTTTGGCCTGGGACTTGGGGCAGGAGGGGCTGAGCCCCCTGCGGGCTGCAGTGCCCACCCCTGCTGCTGCAATGGGGAGCAGACGGGGCAGCCACTGTGAGGCATGGAAAGGAGATGTGCTGCTGCTGGAGGAATTTCAAACTAGCAAAGTTCTGTGATCCCTCACCTGGATCCCTGCAGTGACTGATCACTGATTTGGCTCTGTTGCTCTACCTTCAAACCCGATGTGAATCCTCCCATCCCTGCAACCCCAGACCCTGCTGGGCCCTGTGGCTGGCAGCACAGGGGCTGCTCAGCCCCTCCTGGGAGGGTCTCAGCTCCTCACTGCTCCTCAGGGAGCACTGCAGGGATCACACATTTGGACACAAGCTCTCTCCATTGCCCTTGCTGCTGTCCAACAGCTGGCTCCTGAGTGCAGACCATCAATCCTGCAGCAGCACAGGAGTCTGGCATGTCAAATCACAGTTTTAAAAAGGGGAAAACCAAGCTCCCTCACCTGAGATTCTCACCCTCAGTACCCAGCCCTGCTTGTGTTCTCTCACAGGTCTCCTTTGCCTTGGGGGGAGCAGAAAGCTCCCAGACAAGGTAAGATTAGTGCTACCCCTGCCGTGCTCCCCCCAGAAGCTCTGCAAGGTCCTCTGGGGTAGGGAAAACCAGACATGTCTCCCTCCCTCCCTCCCCCCAGTAAGGCTCTGGCTGAGCCAGTGATGCATATTTAAATGCATGGGAGCATCTAAGCTCCTGTCTCATTCCTTGACATTTCCAGAGACTCCAAGCTGTCTTCAATTACCAGTCTGCAATTAGCTCTTCCTAAATCCCCCAGTGAGGCCTAGGACTCTTAATCAATGGAACACAAGGGAGGAGGGGAAGGACATGGCCTCACTGCAGCTGGAAGCAACTTAAAAGGCTGGGGCTTGAGGCTGGAATAACCCTGTGAGTGTCTCTAAGGAGATCTGTAGGGTGGGAAAATCCTCCTGGATTGTGCTGGGAGGTTGTTCAGCTCTGGGAGGAGACTCCATAAAGCCCTACAGCTGGGAATAGAAATCACTGGCAAACACCTCAGCTCAGGGAGGAAAGAGCTGGTACCAATGGCTCAGGTGTCACCCTGTGATGCAGACCACCTTGCAGTATTCATTCACTGTGCCTCAGTTTCCCTCTCTGCAGAATGCTGGTACAGGAGAGTCAGGGTTCTCCCAGCATCCCCATAGGAGCTATAAGGCTCCAATTCCACCAGCTGAAGCCAAAGTTACCTTTCCCATGAAAAGATGTGAGTATGGCCAAACTTGGGGTGGGTTGGGAACGCCTTGTGGCTCAGAGAGCTCACCACAAGGTCACAGGAATGTCAGTGTAAAGGCACAGACAAGAGCATCCATTGGGAGAGGGAGGACAGGAGCAGCATGGATCTTTTGGAGCCTTGTGGCCCAGAGAGCTCACAAGGTCACAGGAATGTCAGTGTAAAGGCACAGACAAGAGCATCCATTGGGAGAGGGAGGACAGGAGCAGCATGGGTCTTTTGGGTTGACAGAGGCACGGAAAAGCCTTGCACAGCGCCCTGCCAGGTCAGCCCCGTCACAGGGACATCTGTGCTGTCTTCCTGGCAGCACAGCTTTGCCTGAATGAGCCAGATTGGGCCTAATTAGCAGCTCTGCTGATGCACACAAAGGTAGAGGGAATCCAGCTTACCCTCCATGACCTGCAGAGCCAGCACAGCTCTTCCCAGCAGAGGGGAGCCCAAACGCCTGCCTCAGAGGGGCTGTGGAGCCCTGGATGCAGACCCCAGCCAGAGAGCATGTGCAGCAGCTTCTGCTGAAGAAGTCCTGGAAATTTCAGCACCCTGAAGCGTAGCAACCAGTTTTAAAAAAGGCAAAGCTTCCCCATGCTCCACCCCTCTCCCTGGAGGTCTGCAGAAGCACAGGGCTGGTAACAGGGATAGCAGCACAGCTCCCACAGCCTGCTGCTGCCAGGAAAAGGGAGCCAGCCCCGCAGAGCAGAGGTAGGGAGGAGTGAGGTGAGGGAGGGTACAGCTTCAGGAAAAATAAAATTTAAAAAAAATGGAGGTGACATGAACTGTGGCATCCTGTTTAAATTCAGTGTGGCAGACAGGCATCAGGAATTTCCATCTGGAATGGAGGAGGCCAGAAGAGCTCACAAGGGTCCAGAAGACACTCAGGTGGGCCAGGACTGGCCTTGGGCACAAAGAGGGGTGAAAATTTGACCCCAAACTCACACCAAGAAGTAAAACCCCTTTGGGAACCAGGGTCCCCCATCCCTCTTGGGGAGCAGTGGGCCATGACCAGGAGTTTGGGGTGTTACCCCAATTGCCCTTGCGCCCCACAGCCCAGCAAGTCCAGGAGGCACCGCCAGGCCCATCCAGGCCACCTCTTTATTCTCCAGTGAAGCAAAGCAAGAGGAGAGGAGACCCCCCTCCCATAGCAGGCCCCTCCGTTTGGGCACCCTAGGCCTCCTCTGGCACAGACCCCTCTTCCCGCAGCAAGCCGAGGAGGGGGAGGCATCATCCCTTGTTTCGGGGGCGCACGGGGGGGTTTACCCGAGGGGCCGGGCGTGGGCGCCCCCCCAGCGGCTCGAACAAAGGGGTGCGCGGGCGGCTCCCGCGGGGTGACGGCAGGGTCGCCCATGCTGGGGGAGGGGGCCCATGTACCACACGTGGGCGGGGGGTGGGGGGAAGGCATCGCCCACAGGAACCCCCCCAGCCCTGCCCGCAATCCCCGCCTTTGTCTGCTCAGCGCGGCAGCTCCAGCACCACGGACAGCGCCGGGAGCGCTGCGGAGGCGCGGGGCGGCCCTGCCCGCGCCGAGGGACTCGTTCACATGCACCCCCTACCCCCCAAAAATCCCCCCCCCCACGAGCCCTCCTGCCCCCACACCCATTTTTTCACCCCTTTTTTCTAGAGAAAACGCATCCAGGAGCCTCCGCTCGCCCGCAGCCCCCCCGGTTCCCCCTTGGCGGGGGCGGGAGGGGCGCCGCTCCCCCTCCCCGGTCTTCGCCGCCGCCTCGGGGCACCGGAGCGCAGCCCCCAGCTGGGGTCGGAGGCGGGGGAGGAGGGCAGCCGGATCCGGAGCAGGGAGGGTCCAAGCAGCGTCTCCGTGGAACTGGCGGCTGGGGAAGGGGGAAGGCGAGGAGGATGCGGGGGCAGGGGGGGGAATCCGGCAGTCCTTCGCCTCCCCCGCCCCTCGGTGCGCGGCCCCTTCCGCCCCCGGCGCCGGGGGCCTGGTACCTCCCTAGCGGTCCAGGCTGATCGTCCAGTGCTTGGACCCGTCTCCGCCCTCGCCCTCGCTCTTGAGGTCCTGGAAGAGTTGCGTGAAGTAGTGCGGGTCCGCGTTGATTCGCAGCATCTTGGCGCTGAGGCGCTGGATGATGCCCAGGCAGCGCTCCCAGAAGCGCCCCTTGTCTCCCTCCACCAGGAAGGGCTTCAGCGGGTACGAGATCTCGTTGCCCATGTAGGAGTAGGCGAGATAGAGGCAGGTGAGGAAGGCGGCCTGCAGCTCGGCCTGGCTCCCGATGTCTTCGCCCCGCAGCGCTTCCCGGCACAGCAGGTAGACGAACACCAGGTTGGCGGGGGTGATGAAGCCCTGGTCCTGCCAGCCCTGCAGCAGCAGCGAGCGGTCCACGCTGCGAAACCACGAGATGAGTTCCCCGGGGCTCAGCTCCTTCAGGCGGTAGCAGCGGCGGCACACGAAGTCCCCCAGGCAGCGCAGCAGCTCTCCGGTGGACGCCTGCACCACCACGCGCCGCGGGGATCCCGGGGGGCGGCTGCCGGCCGGCGGCGGCGGCGGCGGCGGCTTTCCCCCGCCGGAGCCCGGGTGCAGCTCCTGCGGCGCCGAGGGCACCGTGGGCACCGGCACGGCCAGCGGGCCCTGCTTGGCACCGTCGGCCGGCCCCACCACCGACTTGCGCAAGTTCTCGCGGTTGCGCTGCACCACCAGCGGGTCGGGCTGGCCCGGGGCCCCCCCCGGGGCCCCGCCGCCGGGCTTCGGCGTCACCTTCTTGGTGCTTTTCTTCTTCTTGGCCGAGGCGGCCACCAGCCGCTTCCAGGTTAGCGCCGAGATGAGCACGCCGGGGCGCTTCAGCCGGCTCTCGCCCTTGCCCGGCACCCTGCCCGGCGCCTTCTCGGCCAGCAGCCCCCCGCCGCCGCCGCCCTTGCCCGAGGAGGCGGCGGGGGAGAGGGAGAGCACCGTGCCCATGCTAACGCCGAGCGGGACGGGCGTGCGGGGGCCGGGGCGCCGGCACCGCCCATATGAGGCCGGGAGCTGCGGGGGAGGCGGCCCGCACCGGGGCCGCGGTGCCCGAGGATGCTCCGCCGCGCCCGCTCTGGGCTCCG